ATAAGGGGCATTACCATAGAAGAGGGAGTTTGGGACGAAAGATTGAATGCCAGGAGGGAGCATGTTATGAACATGAGAATCACCAGAAATATCATCAGAGAAATAGTTCATACTAATAAGGTCAAATTCAATGATAGTGTCATGAGCAGAGGAAATGGGAAAAGAAAGAAATAAAACGACGACATGCCTATTTGTATACAATCTTTACCTACAATCTTTGCAGCACGATCATAACAATGATACCCATTTAAATTGTCACCAAAATCCATGAAAATAAATACACGTTCAGTTTTAGGAAGAAGAATAAATCAAGTGCTATCGTACCGACTTAACAAATAAGTAATTAAGTTTTCCACACAACTGTTCAAAAGGCAAACAATATTCGAAGTAATAATAGAAGAAAGCCAGTTAGTGAGGTGAACAATTGTGATAACTACCTCTCCCAAACATAATTGAGAACAAATGAAATACAACCAAGGGCAAGCAACTTCTATCATTTGTTTTTGTTTTCGCTGAACCTCACCATTTTACTCAAGAGTGTTTGCACAAGGAGATTGTTTAACAGTTTCATACAATTTCAGTATGTTAAGAAAATCATTATATTAGTATTGCTTACCCAAATCATACCAAAAATATTTTGTAACTGAAATCTATTAGGTGTGAATCATGACACGAAAATAAGTAAATATGGATAAAAAATTCAGATCGTTGGTTCATGAGATAAATCAGATAATATTAAGTATAATTAGCCCTGAAAGACACAAGATTGGGACCATCTTAACATGCAATCGGAACATGACCCCATACATTAAAATATACAAGTTCAAAAGATGTAGAGGAAGAAGTGGAACGGTTATTAAATGGGAAAGCCCTGATTGTGACAAGTCTGTGCATCTATTACAATCAGAGATGTCACTTAATTTCATAATGAATTAATAGAAAATAAAAATTTCAATTAATTACTAGAATTATCTCTATGATGAGCTAAGGCATGGACACGGACACGAATACAACATGATACAAGCACACAACACTGTTGATGGAAAAGTCTTCTTTTCTTGTGGTGGTAGTTTTTCAAATGTTGGGGTCCAACGCCCCACTCCTTCTACACTTTCTGGCTCCACATCATCAATAAACTCGTCCTCCTCCAACATGGTATTACACAAAAAATCCATGTGATACTCCACCAATGTGTCAATCCTATTGACTTCATGAACCTCCTCGTCATCCCACGGTTGTTTTCAAAGGTTGAACACATTGAGATCCATTGTCATGTTTCCAAATGCAAGCTTCATTAGACTAATCCTGCAATTTATCACATCGTAAGAAGTAGGAAGGAAAGGCCTACCTAATATGTCAGGAATATGTGAATTAAGATTAGCAATGTGGTGAGTATCAAGCACAATAAAATGAACAGGGAAATAAAATTTGTTCACTTAGACCAAAACACCCTCAATTACTCCCCTCGGTGTTCTCACGCTTCAATCCGCTAGTTGAAGAGTGATAGGGGTTGGCTTCAACTCCTTAAGCTGTAGTTGTTAATACTCCGAGAAGGGTATGAGGTTGACACTTGCCCCCAAGTCTAGCTATGCGTGTTTCACACGGCAATTCCCAATGGTTATAGCAATGGTGGGGCTGCCGGTATCCTTGAAGTTGGGTAGGGTGTTTGTGTTCAAGATGGAGCTCAATTGCTGGTTGAAGAATGCCTTCCTGTGCACATTCAACTTCCTTTTCACGGTACACAAATTCTTCAATATTTTTACACGAGGGGATTTGCTTGATAGCATGAAGAAGATATTTTTTAAAAAAGTAGAATACGGATACGTTGGAGACATGTTGAATAGATACATGTATATAATTATATATGACTATTAGTTCATAAATTTGACCCAATGCATATTTTTATATGGCCTTGGTTTGCAAATTCAACCTTATATATATTTTAGCCCAAGTAAATGAATAAATTTGGCATCAAATATTTATGATTGCAGCCAAATTATGGCCCAATTTTAATTCACCCATCAATTCAATTGGACCAAACAATGGCCCATAACCCAGATCCTTTTTTAAGTTGACACCCGGAATGAAGAAGTTGTATGTTTTCTGTTAACCGCGGGCCCATTTGATCTTCTTAAGTGGGTAAGTAGATAAGGAGAAATCTAGGAGAAGCAATCATGGAATGCCATGTAGCAAGGATTTAGTTCAAGCAACACAAAAAGGGGAAATATCAGTTGGTCAAGTGAAGTTCATCTTCTCTCTCTTACACACGCACAAATCTCTCTATAAAAACATCTTCTGCATCTCTCTCGTCTACAAATATGGCAACTGATCCTCTCTGTACATCATGTCTGGCCAAATTGCCGAGGCTCAATGGCTTGGACTTAATCTTTTCCATCGGCTTCGTTATTGTTGCTGTCAATTGTTCTATGCCTTCATTGGCCCCATCAGTAAACTAACAAACATGTGTAAGTTACTTTGAAAACGTATCCGGATGTGACCCAATGTATCTAGGATGTGTCTTATATTCAAAAAAATAAATAAAAATTTGGACATTGACTTTTACGTGTTTGTGTCCTAGACGTGTCTGACACGAACACGTAAAGACAAATGGCATGTCAGTGCTTCATAGATGACGAGCATACCATATATAAATCACAACAGACTTGGGATTCAAACAAATAGGTGACAAATCAACATTAGAAACAACTATAATTGGAACTTATAGGTTCTCCATCACATTCAATAATGGCTTATCCCAGTCAACTTCTTCAAATAAGGATCTTGCAGAAGTACAACCAATAGACAATCTATCCAAGATGACAAACTTATCTATTAGAAATCAAATACAACAATAATGGAGGGATACATTAAACATAAGAATGACAAAAGCAAGTTGTGATAGATCCGATGCCTATCACTGAGGGGAGTGCTATTGGCAACCATAATAGTGTACAAGAAGAGGGTGATGAACTAAAATTAAACAGAGAGAGATAATTATTCATATAATGTGTAATACTTGAATCAAACACTCAAGTGAAGCAAGATAAGAATCCAATTAGGATTAATACACAGATGGTGTAATATGCAGCTTGAGTATCCCTGCTCTCTTACCAAGATTGCTGCTATACAGAGTTTTGTCTACTTAAAACTTTAGGGCATTGTGCCTTTCAGTGACCTTTCTGACAAGAAAAATTTCAATCATATGTACATTCAAGTGTGTTACTTGTTTTGTATGCTAATTTGAGGCTTAGGAGGAACTGCCACAACTATATAACGTGGTAAAAGGAGTGGCTCCTTGCATAAGGATGCTTTAAAAGAAATTTCTGTCAATAACTCATCCATTACAACATCAGTTGAAGGAAGTGGGCCTTGGTGAAGAATGATGCCCCAAATGCCCTTCAAAATATCCCTATGAAGAGTCAATCAAGCTCATTTTGAACTATTGTCATTTTTGAAAAGAAACCCTCACATCCTCATTCTGCAACTAGACCATCACAATCGTTGATAAGTGACAAGTGTAATCATTTTTGGAAGCACAAAATATATCATTGGACACTATGTAAAGTGCTTGGTGCAATGGGCCCAACCTGCCAGTGACTTGAAGTTGCCAGCTAAAACTTGTGCAACCAGCCGTTGAAGTTGCTTTTATCATAGTTATAAACCCGACCTGAACATCAACCCAACAAAGGGACTAGGTCAATGGGTCACTCGTTCAAACAATGGGTCAACTGGTCGGACTGGTCATACGATTAAAAACAAAAAGTAATTATAACTAATAATAATTTACAAAACCACTGATTTCTCATTTTGGGTAGTAATATTTTCTTTTGAGTAATGTTTTGTTGAGGTCACTTGGTCTTGATTTTTCAAAATTTTCCTTTGTGATAGTGTCCTAAAAGAAAGTCCCAAACGTGGGGGATGTAGAAAATCCAAAAAGAACATATCAGAGAGAATAATTTTATATGGTAGCTAGCAACATTCTATTGATAGAAAAATGAAGCTTTTTACAAGGAAGGGGAAATTATGAAAAAAATACTTTTAAAAATGAATGCAATAGCATTTAGAACACAATATCAAATCTAATACTGTGTTCTTAATAATGGATCAAGAAAACACAGTACCTAATTAATTATCAATAAGAAACATAAAGTCCTCCCTCAAGCCGTAAGCCTTTAGGTCATAACCAATGGTAGGAAGATAGCAATCAACTCCGTAGCTGAACACTTAGCAAAACTACGAAGCAGAACAAAAAAAGCCACTGATTGTATTGACCATAGCAAGAGAGAATCATTTTGATGTAAAGAATACAGATCATTGGATCGATCAAGATCGTAGCTACACATAAGGTAAAATTTTTCACCAAAAAGCTCAAAATTGTTGAAATGAACAACTACAAATGCAGATCTAGCCAAAGAAAACAAATCATACTGGCTTTAAAAGAAAGTCTAATGAAGGTAGTATTGAAACTTTTCTATCAGAGGAACAAATTAAAAGTAGGAGCACTGAATGGAGGACGGACCACAAGGCCCTTGTTGCAACTGTGAGAGAGACAAAGGGAAATCATGTTGAGAAACAATGAGAGACGGAGGTACTGTGACAAGGAGTGTATGCCAATGATAGAGATTTTTTAGTGCAGTTATAGGTTTTTGTATAAGGTAGGTAACCCACCTGGGGTTTAATAGAACCGCCCGATTCACATGAGTTGGATAAAAACTGGCCGGATCCTATGGGTTTATAGGGATGTATGTGGTAGATGGAGATAGAAGGGGGTAGGGAGCCATTGTGCTATTGTGGGTACTGAAAAAAAGATGGAGACAGGTAAGGAATTGGGAATTACGACCATTAATCATGAAATTAACGTGGTTAGTTGTTTCAAATCCCATGATTGTGGGAGACCTGATCAGGATTTGAATTTTAAAAATAAGGTTAGTGTTGAAGTGGGCTCTGTTAATGGGTTGGAGAGTCAGATTGATCAATAGAGACAGAAGGGAGATGATAAAATGGGCTATAAAGACAAGGCCCATCAGGGGGATGTTGGGTTTTATGGGTTTAAAAAGATGTCCATCAAGGAAGTTGGTCCTTCAAAAGTGGGCCTTTTTGTCTCTAAAAGGCCTGATTATTTTAAGAAAATAATAGCCGAAACCCAGTACTTAAATGTTTTGGTTCCTAAGCCTAACTCAACACATAGGGCTGTTCTCTCTATTTCTCAAGAAGTTGAGATCGACGACAAGTTTGAAGGCAATGACGAAGAAGAAAGCGGGGTATTTAGGAGTGAGAATGATCTACAGCTGATGAAATTACCAATGATATGAAGATTTCCGATGACATCTTAGTCGGTGTGAGTGCTAATCGAGACTACAAAGATTTTGAAGTTAACAAGGGAGTTGGGGTAGAAGATAACTAGGAAAATTTGATACAGGAAGTGGAGGAAGGTTTTTTTGATGTGAACGACATAGGATTGTACTTAGAAGGCAATGATGTTTCTACCAATTGTGGTGATGGAGCATCTGATTGCTGCGATGTGGGAAAGGATACAAAATTCATTACGGATGAGGCAATCTATGTTATCGGCGATTTGTTTGATGCAAACATTGAAAGGAGTATTAATCTTGTTGATGAAGTTGACAATAAATGTGGAGTATGTGAATGTTGTTAGGTAAGTAAGTCTTTTGCATCAGTTTCTCATGCACCCCTTTGTACTTTCTTTTTTTTTGATGGGGAGGGGGGTTATACAAGAATTCTGAAGTGTCTTTAGTGCTAGGTAATTTTGAGGAGGATCTGTGTTCTGTGAGTTTGGGGAGGATACCGAGTCTAGGGTGGGTCGTAATTTGAAGGTGGATGGGAGTGGGTATTCTAGTTAAGTGGTGATGAGGATTTTCCTGTTATATTTGGTAATCCCTCCATCTGTTTAGGGAAGGAAAACCATTTTCTGTCTACTGATCTTGGGCCTACGAGGGAGGATGGGTTATCTCTTGAAAAGTGTTTGGCCTTCAGATTTAGGGAATGTCCAGTGTTAATTCTAAAGGTTGAATCGAAATTGGTTTCCAGTGAGTTTCCCTTGTGTTTTAATATCGAAAAGGCCATGACTAATTTTGTTCCAGGGTATTTAAATTGTTTGGCCGATAAGGATATTGTATGCTATGAGGGAGATGAGAGTGAAATGAGTCTAGGGTTGGGGGGTGGGCGGGGAATTCCAAGGGTGAGGATATGGGTGTTTTGTCTGATGAGGAAAAATGGGTAATTTTCAAAAACTTTTTAAAAAATGTGGATTTGTCATTAGTACCCACTAGGAGAAAATGGAAGAGTAAGGGAGAGAAAAAGAGTGTTAAAAAAAGAGAAGGGGTTTGTGAATACAATGGGATGAAGACAATATAGCATAAGAGGCAAAATTAGAGATAGGATGCTGAGTACAAGCTCAAACACCTTTTCTGACCGCAATAAGAAGATCAAAGTCATCTACAACTGGATTATCAATAACTGGTGTAATATCTGGAGGTTCATTACCTGATAAATCAGTGGAGGATAGAACTGGAGTTAAAGAATTGGACTGATGCAGTGACACATCGGTAATTTGTACTTTTTGACATCAAAAGTATTCAGATTATCCTTGTGAAAGGTGAATAGGTTCTTGATAAAACATCTCTTTTCCTATAGTGGTATTCTCTCCCTGAAGAGATGTCTGGGTAGTAGAGAAAAATGACTCAAATTCACGAAAGGTAATATCTATGCTAACATATTTTGTGACTTTGGATGATAACATTTATATTCCTTTTGCGTGGCAGAGTAACTAACAAAAATACATTGTTGTCAAGTTTTCCGCAAGAGGGTTTGTAATCACATACAAAACAAACACACCCAAAAACTTTGGGAAGGAATAGAAGAAATAGAAGGAATTGAAAAAGACTCAAAAAGACACGATTAGAGACTTAAATTGAAGGACACTCGAGAATAGACGATTAATAAGATAGGCAGTAGTAAGAACTGCATCCCCCAACAATAAGGACAATTGAGGGACATTCATAGTAAACATCAATGAGCGAGCAACCTTAAGAAGATGATAATTTTTTCGCTCAGTAACACCATTTTGTTCTGGGGTACTTACACAAGTAGTTTGATGCACGATGCCATTTTCATTGAGATAAGAACAAATTTTTTCATCAACATACTCAGTTCGAAGAATTTTGACTTTCGCATCAATTTGAGTACTCACCATTTTATGAAAAAATCTGAAGCAAGAGAAAACTTTACTTTTATGGTGTAGTAGGTAAATCCAAGTAAGACGAGAATAACAATCAATAAAGGTAACAAACCAACGATAACTAGAAGTAGACACAACACGAGATGGGTCCCACACATCTAAATGATTAATGACAAAAGGTGCAGTGCTTCTATGTTAGTAGTAGGATATGATGGACGTTTATGCTTGATAAATTCACAAGAATCACAAACAAAATATTGTCTACTACACTGCTTCACCAGGCTAGCAAAAAGATGCTCTAAAACACCAAATGAGAGGGATGTCCTAAATGTCTATGTTGTTGATATAAGAGCTAAAGGGCTAAAACACCAGCTATTTGGAGAGCTTGAGATAGACTGAGAAGAAGCTTCAACTTCAAAAAAGGTACACACCATTATGTTTTTTACCATTGTCAATCATTTTTCCAAATTCTAGATTTTGAAAGATGCAATGAGTAGGTAAAAAAGTCACCGAACAATTAAAGATTTGGTAATATTACTAACAAACAATAAATTAGGGAGAAATTGGGAACGTGAAGAATGGAGGAGAGAGATAGAGAGGGAGAATAATTAATTGAACCTTTTCCATAAATAGAGGATAAAGATTCATCTGTCACCTTAACTTTATCCCTACTAGAACAAGTAGTATACAAAGAGAAAAGACTAGAAGAACATATCATATGATTCATAGCTCCAGAATCTATCATTTAAAGAGTATATGTGGATGTCGTAGTAAACACACTAACAGATATGCTTGTATAAGCAAAGTCAGAAGAAGAGGTAGGATTAGAAGATATAGCAGAGGAAACATCAATTCAAGCGATCAGATGTTTAAAGAGTCTTTATCTCATCTTGAGTGAAATCACTAGAAGTTACACTTTCTTCTGACATGTCCACACAATAGGATCAAAGAATTATAGTGGCAAGTTACAAAACAAGCATAACAGTCAACACTTTTGATTATCGCCAAAAATACAAAAACCCAGTAAGCAAATACAACCCCCAAGTAATATTCCTCAACCTCCAATCGCACCTCATAGAGTAGGATTGGCAAAAAAACACTATCACCAAAAAAGGTTCTAAAAATTTCAAGAAATCACTCCTAAAAAATTGAACTACAATTATAAAAATACTCCTATAATGATGGAATATAACCAGAACAATACCCAGAGATACTAGGAGAGAAAATAGCCCCTGAGAGACAATTAAGAGCCAAAAAATTCACTGAGACGCAAAAAACCAACTGGTGGTAGCAAAAAAAAGGTACTGTGCAATCACCTAGTTTCTATGCGATCATCTAGCTTTACCCAAGCAGCTTCAAAGGCCATAAAAATCACAAGACATTAGAGCATAAGGCCAAACCAGTGCAGCAAAGAGAAAAAAAAAGTAAGCACACAGATCTAAGCAAAAACCCACCAAATTCAATCCAAATGCACCAAAACACTATGTGTATCTTAGATCTACCCTAGTCGAGGAGGATTTGCTAGAAAGCAACACAAAAATTGGTCTGAAATATCAAATTGTGACTGTGAATTGTAAAACCAAAATACATTTGAAAATTCAATAAACTTGTTAGATGGCTCCAAAAAATTCCCAAAAAATCACCATTATATTAAGAACAAAAAATTGAGTTTGTTAATGGTTGTCTCGAAATTTTTTGACATGTTCGTCGCTGACGCCAGCATGTCAGATGTTGACGTTAGCGCGTTAGATTCTGATAGGGACTATTTTGGTGTATTGTGGAAGATTTCCAATGAGTTTCAACAAATTTGGGACTTTAGATTCGATCGTTGGCTTAGACCAAGTGAGATTATGAAGAAATTAGGGTTTGAAGAAAGACAGAAAGAACACCTTGTTTTTATATGTAATCACAAAGTTCAAAAACAACCCTTAGTCTAGAAATAACAGATAACATATTAGTAAAGTTCCTCTAAAAGTGAAAGTTTGTGCATTGATGATTGCCCATGGTAAGATTAATACCTATGATGTGTTACAAAAGGATATCTTACACTTATTTATTCCCACAATGGTGTATTATGTGTAGAGCAAGTTGGGAGAGTTTAGATCATTTTTTTTAACATTGATCTATTGCATTTCTCCTTTGGAACAAGTTATTTGAGATGGTGGGGTCTTGGGTTGCCCCGTGATCAGTTTCCTCCATGTTTTCGACCGAATTCAAGGCTTGGGTGATTGTGAAAGGGGTGTTGTTCTTTGGAATTGTGAGAGATCGAATTATTTCCTTGCATCTTTTTAGGCTTCTGTAACAAAGGAGTTTGAAAGTGTCCCTCTCTTTTGTATTATCTCAACTTGGATGACCTCTAGTGGGAGATAATCTTTTATCTCTTGATGGCTGTTTTGATTTTGTTTTTTGTTCCTTTTACGCATGTACGAGGGTTGGACTACTTGTTCAACTTGCTCGCATTTTATATTTTTACTTATCAATGAAGAGTTTTGTTTCTTTTCAAAAAAAAAAAGAGTCCGAACATGCATTCATTGAGATTTAGTGGGTTTGCTAAGGATTCAAAAAAAATTTATGACCAGGTCACCTGATTTTGCTTTAAAAATTTACCCAAAACTCCCCTTACTGTTATGCTGCCACTGTTATAGTTATTTTACGCAACACTGTGATACTTACTTTGTCATGTTAGTCTAGATGATGGGCTATGACAACCCTTTCAAGATCAACGAGAAATAGAATGGGTAGAGTTCGAGGCAGTTTTTAATTTTTCATGGAGAGTGGCCCAACATTGTAGAT